TGATGGAGTTTTACTCAGCAGTAAAGAAAGATGAAATCATGAAATTTGCAGGTAAATGGATGGAACTAGAAACTGTTATACTAAGTGAAGTAACACAGACTCGGAAAAAAAAAATGACATATGTTCTCCCTCATATGTGGATACCTCATATGTGGATCCCAGACTCTGATAAATAAGTATGCAACCAGACATAACTACAGGAACCAGGATAATGGAAAGGAAACAGAGAGGTAAAGGAAAAGAAAGAACCTGAAAGAGAAGAAGAGTAGGAAACAGGCCTTAATAATGGAGATATTGATAAAAATTGGGTTAAAGGTGGGGGGGAAGGGTATACAAGGAAACTAGGGGATAAAAGGAAAGAAGGAGCTCAAGAGAGGTTAGGACCATAGAAGGGTATTATTAAGGGAGAAGTGGGGGAAATGGGGGCACCTTAAGTGGGAAATCCATGATGGCAGGGTGAGACATTGTGAGAGATAACTAATGTCTAGCTAGTTTTGAAAACCAGAGGGAACTATATTACTCCTACAATCTATGGACAAATTATACATAGCAGATATTTAACAGACATACTTTGAGGCCTATAATAATTTGGTCAGAGGGACATAAAGGACAGTTTTTTGCTCCTTGCCCTCCTAGGTCAACTAGTTCCAGGGGACTATGAGCATCTCTCAAAATGTCCTGTAATTGTGGTGGGTCACTGGTCCTCTTGACCAAGGATGCCAAGGAGACCCCACCAGATGGACTTGAACCAGTGTCTAGTCTACAAAAAGGAGGGTCAACACAGAGGAATCATTTCCTCCATGCTTCCAAGCAAAGCCAACCATGGTCGAGCAGGACCTTTTGACTTATCTTCACATAGACGGAACTGGTAAAAGAAAGGAGTCAGGGGCTCCTCCTAAGCCCATGTGACCCCTGAGGAACAGATTCTCAAATGACCTTAATAGTAAAAATAATCTGGTTTATCTAGCCAACTGTATGGCCTAAACACCCAAAACGAAAGTATAACAAAAGATTAAAGGAGCCAATATAATTCCTAAAGAGTCCATATGCATAGCTAAAGGCTACATAACAAGTAACAATGCCAAATAGGAGATATCTTCTTTTGAGTTGTTGGCCAGGGTGGCCAAAGGACTCCCAGATAGTAACCCAGCATAGAACTGGGAAAATGAACAGCAGACCCCAATCTTATCCAAAGGAATATTGAAAACTGATTGCTGCTAGATGAGGAACAGCTGACCCTCCTAACAAAGACCTCTAGATAGACTGACTAGATTCACCAGAAGGGCAAGTAGTGGGGAATGGCTGGGGGTGCCGACAACACAGTAGACAGTAGCAGGGATATCAGAGTATAAGGGCTCTAGTGTGGTGGGGGAGGCTATGTGAAGATGCCATCTGGGAAGTGGGTGTATAGCTGAATAAGATGGTTTGGGATGTTCTGTGTGATATACACACAACACAAATCAACAAGTTTAAAAAAATATATTTGAGGAGGAAGCATGGAAATTTATGTCATGTTAATTAGTAGAGGTGATAAACATTACCATTGAAATCTACCCAA